GAACTCTCCTGAACTTTATCTAAAGATATAAGACAACATCAACATTTTCTCATGAGTTTGATGCTAACGACGAGCAATTGATATTATCCAATGTTTCCAATCAACATAATCACATGAAACGAATTGAAATTTTCACCTTTACAAATGAATCGGGTGTAAATATTTTTCCTTTTCTTCCTCTCAAAATCATAATCAACATACAGTCTAATAATAATATTATTATTATGAACCATATCATTTACAATTTACCTTCAACTTCTCATATCGATGTTAATTTCTTGAGAGTTAACATAAAATCATAATCCATAATACTCAAGAGTGAAAAGCAATTTACAAACAGTTTTTAATCAATCAACTTGCCAGTAGAGAGAAACATAAAGAGAGCAAAACGTAGCCATTAAATCAACTGTAAATGGTATAAAATAGATCTACCTTGACTTTGATTTTCAACTTTTATAGAAGTTGAACATTTGCAAATTTTGCAGCTTTTTTTGGTAAACATTTCCCTTCATTTCTGACCATTCTTCCGTGATTCTTCATGATTAGACTAACAAACGGTTAGCCTATCAACTTGAGAAATCATGGTGTTCATGATTATGATATAATGAATGCAAAACCGATTATCGAGTCAAATTTTTGTTTTACTAAAAAATATTCCTTCTTTCACTATGGAAGTGAATGCAGTTTGAAATAAACATTTTAACAAATATTAAACACTAACATATTAAAAAATTGATTGCTCATGTTGAATCATTAATTTACTTGGTTATTAACCAGTAAATCATTACTTTTTCAATAGTATCTCAATAAATATCCGGGTAATAACAGGTGAAAGAGTTTATCCTTTTCGTCTCAGCACCTTGAATCATCTTGCATCTTCGTCTTCAATGTTGTTTTAATTTCGATTTTTTTCCTTGATTCCTTCCACCACCAGATTTGTGATTAAAAATCAAATATTGATTGATTTACCTTGAAGAAATGACGAATTATAAATCAACATCGACACCAAGTAGACAATAGTACAAAAAATTGTAAACAATTTTCACAAAAAGCTTTTCAAAAATGGCATTCTGGAATGTGAAATTTGATTACGATTTTTCAACAGTCATTTGTTATTGATTAGATTGATAGAGTGAAAGTTGATCATTTTGTTTCGTGTTGAATACAATTCTGTTTTAGATGTCATCCAATTGTTACTTGTTACAGCCAAATGATATAAGAAAAAGGAAGGGCTCAGGAATTGGTTGACTGTTGACTTTCCGATTCAATCATTTAGGATGTTGAACTGGTAAATACAAGAATCTTTTATCGCCCTTTTTGCACTTTTCCTCATTTCGTCTTCATTGCCAGTCTTCATCTCAGTCTTGATCTTCATTTTTCTCTCTTTGGTCCCTGCCCTTAGAGCGGGTTTTTATCCTCATGATATTTACTTTTATTTTACTGATAAACGCCTTTTTACTGATCGTCCGGGAAACTGGTAAATTTGTCCTGCTATCCATTATATTGAAGGACGTTTCCGGTGTAACCTAGCGACCTGATGGAGTGTAATATAAATGTAATGTTACTTATGATGATTGGTGTTTACTGTTGTTGCTGGGGTGACCCTTTAAACTTGAGAAAGCTTCCTGGGAGTAATCAGTTCTTTTTTTTCATCTTTCAGCTTCTTTTCCATTTTTTCATTGAACAATGGCTCGACACATCTTATTTGACTGATTAAAGAGAAAGATGGAAAAAAGAAAGAAATGGTTATGATGATGAGAACAGGATAGAATGATGATAAACAGCTCTGGAGAAGTTGAAATTAAATTTAAGTATCGATTTGGATGTTAAAGTGAACAAACGGGGTGAAGAGTTGCACAGAATACATTAATAATAATTAATGGATAATAAACCGTTTCAAGTCCACGAAAAGTCAACCAATTTGAAATCTGCAAGACTCAAAGAAATCCTCTTAAAGATGAAAGATGAGCTTAGAGAAGGGACCAAAAATTACGATTTCCCAAATTTGAATAAGGAGCTCTTTGTGTCCATAGATTGATTCCTTGTTAGTGTTTCATAAATTAGCTGAAAGTTTGGAGAGGAAGAGAAAGAAATGAATATAAATTAATATTGCCATCAATTTCATCAATTATTGAAATTTGTGAACATTTTGACAAAGTCTTTTTTGTTGCGTTCATGAAAACAGGACTTAGTAACAGGCCCAGGTTCAAATTGTGAACAGCTTATTCAAATAAATCTTGTAAAATTGTTCAACAGTTTGCAGTCATGTTTTAGATGAAATTTGGAAACATCGAGGAGGACAAAGATAGTCATCAAAGTCTCGGGTAAATGATTAGCTTCAGTCAGTTCGTGGTGAAGAGGCTTTTTTATTGTTGATGGTAGCTGCTTTCCCCGTTTTCCTTTCTTTACGTTTTTCTTCATGCTTCAACTTTATCACTTGAATCCTCTTTACATTCTTGTCAGAAGAAAAAAAAAGAACCAAAGAAAGAAATAGAAAAAGCTTATTCCATTGTTATGTAAGGTGGATTTTTTAACAAAATGTTGTTAAACCAGTTTCAATCAAAGCAAAGGTTGATTACATTGCCAGTCTGAGTCTCATCACTACGATTCTTTATCTTTTCAGGTATAATGGTTTATGTACTTCTTTTTCATCATCACTTTCTTCTTCTTTTTCCGATGGAAGACCTTTTTTTTCCTTTCAGGGTTCTCCTTTTCAACTCCTTTCTTTGCTCTTTCTGGTTCTTCCCAAGTGATGAGAAGATTTCAGGCGAATCTCTCTCTCTCTCTCTCTCTCTGCAAAAAGGGCAACAAAATCACAGTGAACTTGTCACCGTACATTAATCTGACCAGGACACGCACAATCAGAACATAATGATGAGAAAAGTTTATATTGTCGGTTGAAAGAGAAAGGAAGATCATCTGGAAGAGTTCAATTTGGTTCCATTAAAATACATTTTCTTGAAAGAGATGCGATATTTCCAATTCCATAGCAGCAGTAGCAAAAAATGACTCGCGTGACTTGATTATCCATTTAGTGAATCAATTTTTTTATCAGATGGAAATAGCTTTGTGCGATTTTCTCTCATTCAAATTGATCCGATGCTGATTTTCTTGCAAAAGATTGACTTTACTTGAAGCACCAACAAATGAGATTACTCATGATCCAGTCTTATTATCATGAAAGTTTAATTATTTATGCTTCCTTCTTAGAAGAGAAATGACCATTTGTTTGAAATAAATTCCATTGTATGATATAAATATATTCAGATACTTTATCGGTCCATCTTTTGGAGAGGTGAATCTTTTGGGCCTGCTATGCTTTCTTGGAGATTGGTAAGGTTATCTGTCTTTGATTCACACAAATTTATCACCAGAATTTATGGGATTTACTAGTTGAACAACTTGTTTCATCTCAATTCAGATGAAAAAAAACGGAGAGAAGTAGAAAAGAAAATAATCTTCTTTCACATTATTTTACATCTTTTTGCTTCTTTTCCATCTCTCATTCTGGATTCACTGTCAGCTTCCAACTTCCTTTCTGCTTTCAAGAGCCAATCGTCATCTAGTTTCGGGAAACCCCTGCTAACTCTATGAATACAGGTTATGCAAAATCGTTTTACCGGTCATCGACCATTCAATTCGCCAACATGATACCAAACTTATCTTTTACCAGGCAACCTCATCTTAAGCTTCTTTTGCTTCTTTTCTTTCTCTTCTTGAGAAGCTTTCTTCTTGTCTTCTTATCCATTTCTTTCCGTTCGATCAAAAATGAGGCTCCCTCTTCAAATGCCCTTTCCAAAACAAGCTTCTCAGGGTCACAAGTTGCCTTTTTCATCTCCGCCAATTTGACTGTTCATCTCGTTACAAACAGGTTGACACATGATGGTTATATCGGAATTATAGGAGAAGAGTAGTTAAACCATGATGAAGTTGAACATCAAATTTAGAGTCAATATTTATCACAGAGTTGAATCATGTGAGGGGTTTACTGACTCTTCATCTGTTTACCATCAACGGTGATTTGTTGAGCCTTTCATTGGGAATCATTGGGTCTTCTATTGAATTATCATTTTTTACACAGTAACACTAAACCAGCATCTAAATAAATTCATCTGTCGAAAAAAAAGAGTCAAAATAAGCGAAATTAATTACATTTGCTCGTAATCATTAAACCAGACGGCTTGTTGCATACTAAAAAAATTAGTCTTGTACCCTATTTTGTCATTTTTTTAAGTGTTTCACTTCTTTGAATAGAGAGAAATACTCACGATTTATTGTTTATCCAATAACAGCTCTAAAAGTAAACTTGAATTAAATCATGACGAAAAATTGAGATTGTTGACCTAATCCAAAAGCAGTGATCTGCTAAATTAATTCACACCGAGGCTTTGCTTCTTTAGGATATTGATATCACTTGGATGTTTACTAGCTTGAAACAGAAATTTAACCCATCTTTTGTCACATTTTCAAGTTCAAATTTCCATTTGACTGAACAATCTTGATGAAAAGTGAAGGTAAACTTGGAAGAAGTCATGTTTTGTCTAACAGCATTATCCTAATAATAAGTTGCTTATAGTGATACATACCTTTTACCTGAAAATATTGAATTACATCTTTAAAATCTGTAACACAAAGCATTTGATCAGATAATCAATCACAGTCGTAGATTTACTTACAAAGCCATGGTAAATATGATTAAACTATTGGTATATTGGTTGAGATAATTGCAGAGCAACTATTCATGCATAGATCAGCGCTATCAACAAGTAAATAACAGGCGTTATCAACAGATTAACCGACGAGAGAAGAAAATCTAAAAAAAGTAAATAACCGAATTTATTCAAATAAAGACGTTTTTTGGTTTGATTGCCGTTCTAATAATAAAATTGAAAAAATTACTGAATGATAAATAATTTTAATATGAAGACGATTAAAATTATGGAGAAATTTAGGCAATCAGAAATCAAATTTTGCGCGCAATCTAAGATGCTTGATTTGTTTACAATAGTCAGCTGTTTAGCATTGCAAAAGTTTGGAATCAAATCCATCTTATTTTTATAATATTGTTCTGAGCTTCTAAATCAATGAAAGTTTATTTTAATTGTGTCTAGACTGTTATAATTCGTAAACGATGTCCAAAATTTTAATGAGATATTCTCATTTACAAAAAAGATGGATTAAAACATGGTTTTAATGACTTTTAACGCTGCTCTGAAAGAAGGCATTTTAATAAATTTGCTAGAGCTTATTGATAATTGAAGTTTCTGCAATCCACAATAATGCGTTTTTGGACCGTTGATTTGTATTCAATCGGAATCAATGAACTTGGAACTGGAGTTGCTATCGTGTTGGATCATTTAATGGATTATTGGCAAGACTGTGGCCTTAAGCTGGATCCTGCATTGTTTGAAATCAATCTACCTTTTTATATGGAATCAGAAAGATGGTGGCAAAAGGAAGATTTTAATCAGAAAAAAGTTTCAGATCGTCAAACGTACCTGGCTTGCCTTTCGGAAAAAGAATTAAAATTGATTGAATGGATGAAAAACAAAGTGAACCCGAGCCTGTCCAATATTAATGACGACGACAATTCAATGGCTAAAACTAAGGCTAGACAAATTCATCTGCGTTCCTCTGGTATCAACTCTATACCTGGCGATAAAATCTGCAGCAATTTAACAAACAATCTTCTAATTACTAGAATAGCCTTTCAAAATTATATCATTCCTAAAATGAGCTGTTTCATATATTCAGATGTTCAAATTGGTCTCAATATTTTCATGGATTCACTGGTAAACTCAAAGGATATTATTGGAGAATCCGGAAAATTCTTAATTATCATTGATCCACCGTGGGAAAATAAATCGGTTAAACGGAAAAGAAACTATAATAGTCAAGGCCCAGATGAAATTTTGCAAGCTTTCGCATTATTAGAAAAAATTTGTAAACTTCTAAATGATCGAAAACTCGATGTTCGTGTGGCTTTATGGACAACTCAAAAATACAAACAATTTTGTCTCGATCATTTATTACCCGCTATGAATATGAAACTTGAAATGTGTCTCCTTTGGCATAAAATCACTAAATCATGGGAAAGCAGTAAAATTCGTGGTGGACGTGAATATTTATTAATCGGATCTCAAAAAGGCAGACAAAATGTACTTGATGGAGTCTTAATTTCAATACCAAGTGCCATTCATTCTCATAAGCCTCCAATTGATTTTAATTTTCCTTGGTTACAAGATGAATCTACAAATCAATTTTTTCAGCAAACTAATGAAACCAAAATACTTACAGAGTCACTTCGTCATGATGTATTACCAAGATTGAAAGGTATAGAGCTTTATGCTCGCTATTTGAGGCCAAATTTTCTATCCATCGGCCATGAGTGTATAAAACTACAATGTAGTGATATTTTTAGCCATTAATTGCCAAAATCGCCTTTTTAACAAAAGCTTTTAAAGAAAACGAAATTTCAAATTCTACAAGAATTGTATATATTTTCACAAAAAGATTTTTAAATGGTTTAACTTTTACATTTATTTTGTAATAAAACACAATTTAATTATCAATTATTAACAATCTTTATTTAATATTAATTTTTCTAATGATAACCAAGAACACTTAACTCTGGTTATCCTAATCACAGTCGCCATCTATCAAATTGAGATGAATAATTTACAATATTTCACTAAAAGATAAAATGTCATTAGATGGAGACACTGACAATTTTCAATTTTAAAATGATAAACAAAAATTGTCTGAAGTCACAGTTTAAACAATTTGATGATAAATGTTAAGTGTTTTCAACTGTGAATGCGATTTGTAACAATTAACAAGTGCAAAAAGTTGAGTCGCCATCGGGTGGGCTCGAACCACCAACCTTTTGGTTAACAGCCAAACGCGCTATCCGATTGCGCCACGACGGCCTCAGATGATTGTAACTAGAATTATTTAAATTACAAATGTATCCGTTAGCATCTACTGAAACGCCATCTATTCATATCTTGATCTCTTTTAGAAACCAAATTTTCACAGCTTCGAAAAATTATCGTTAAATGTTGCTTATGCAAAGTGGTTTGATCGCAGTTTAATATCAAATGGATCTACCCGGAAACTTTCAATTATAATTGTCTTAATAAACAATCATAAATTGTACTCTATGGTCTCGCTTAGTGAAGGTTACTCTGTGTGGAAGCAATTGAAAGCTATTATAAAGTATCTCGAAAATTAATCAATTCAATTTTCACAGACTGATTGCTTCAAAAAACAAAATTGCAACAAATGAAATGCTGGAAGTGCGAACAATAACCCTCAACTAAGACCTGATCAACCGTTTAATGAGCAGTTTTCATCGAATTATGTAGACACAATTTACCAGATAAAACAATGGCATGGATCCCCTTGAAACGGAGACCTCTGAGTCTTTAATGGGCCATTAGTGATAACTTCAATTGACAACAATTGATATTGTCTAAATAAGAATATATTCATTTATTTTAATAATAATTTGATATTAAATTTTAAATTTTTCAACTGATACACATGATAATTAAGAATGATAACAACTTGGAAAAATCGAGATTTAATGGCATAATTTCGTTTATAGAGATGGATCTGAATATTTATTCAGTTCCAAAGCTTCGTATTGTCACGATTTTTCTCATCATATATTAATTTTTGAGTTTCATAGAGTACAGGTTTACTATTGATTAACTTTTGATTGGTACGAAAAATTTGATTCAACACAGAAACAAAAGATTGTATAAATCACTTTGAAGTCATGTTATAAAATTATCTTTTGACTGCTGAATACCAATTCAAATTGTTTTTTGTCACAAAATTAATTTACACGATTATTTATTATAAAATGATATGTCTTTGATTAGCATGGGTAACTTCTCGCTCTATTTTGACCTCTTGCAGAGTAAGATGAACCAAAGCATATACGCTTAGCTTCAAAGGTAACTAGATAACTTTTGATATCCATTGGATAAAGGATCACAATTAAGGGTTCTTGACCATCACTATGGTTACTTTGGTCTGAAATGGAAAGAAATTAAAAAGATTTAGAATCGCCAAAATATAAGATTACTGTGACTTACCATTTGGATCAATTTGACTGAGCAAATTTGTATAGTTGAAATAAGGGTCGAAACGTGAGACGAAGCGTAATCTACGCTTTTCAGCTGCTCGACGATCTTGAACCACATTGAGAGTAACTTCTTGAGCAGAAGTTATGCGAAGTGGATCAAAAATATCTCTTAATGAAACTCTACGAGGTCGAGAAAACTTGAGATCTTCGTTAACCTCAAAAAAGTGTTCTAATCTAATCAGCAATTTATTATCATCCCATCTTTCCAGACTCAAAAGATGAATATTAATTGGTAATTTACGGTGAAGTCCACTGAAGTCAAATCTTTCAGGACGGTTCAGATGATAGATTCCTGGATCAGTGAGAGCTCTGAACATGGTTAAAGGTGGAAGGGCCAATTGTTTTGACATTGTTCTTATCTTTTGAACACTTGGACGAATATCATTCAAAATAACGTGATGGCGACCCTTCACAATTAAACCTTTAGCATCAGATCCAGGTTCATCTAGAGCTTCTTCCATTCCAAATCCATCATCATAAAATAATCGACGATGAACCATCAATTCAAGAGCCCCATCAGTTAAACTGGCACCTCCTTCAGCTCGATCAGGTAATACAGTTAATTGTAGATTGCGATCATAATCACGAATAAAAGTCCAGGTAGAAATAGGATAATAATTAGCCGCTACGTTTTCTGTGGTGATTAGATTCCATGTTGGTCGATGATCACGGGTTCTTCTGATAGCCTCTCTACCATTAGAATCCGTCCACCAGGTTCCATTTGTGTGGAAATCAGTTTCATATCGGGTAACAATTTCTCTTCCTAAGTCAGAATACCAATTACCTTTCGGTATCGGCCCAATAACCCAATCAAATTCAATGGAATCACTATGTTGATGGAGTCGAATTGTTTGGCTAATATATTCATTGAAAACTTGATGTACTTCTTCAACTAAATCACCTTTAGATACATGATAAGTAACTTTATTAGTAGCCGGGCTGGAACCATCTGATGTAGGGTTAAACGCATATGCTCCGGATGCCTTTTCTGTATAACTTCCGCTAGAGCCTCGGTAAAGGTGGAAATTTTGCTTGAAAGGAACTCTTCGACCATCACTGAGAATAATTTCCTGCAAGAGGCCAGTTGATGGATTGAATACTAAAGCCATTTTATTGTTTTCAATAACGACTTCACCTGAGTTCTCGGCGGGTCCAGTTAAACGCCTTGGTGGAGCAAAGTCTAGATAGGTGAAGAATAATCAAAGTAAAATAGGAATTGGAATATTGAAAATTTAAATGTTTAATTATCTGCTTACCAGGACCATTTATCTTGCGTATTAAGTAAGTAGTGTAACCAAGAGCTGGTAGAGTGGCTCTAAATAACAATTCATAGGGTGTATCAACTGATCGATGGGGTAGGCTCCGTACTGAATCAGCTAAATGTAATAACTAAAATGAAAAGGAAACAAAAAATTATCATTTTAAAACTGTGAAAACATTTTAAAAATAAGCTATGTGAAGCTAAAAATACCTGATGATCAACACTTGACCGATCACTTGCAAAAACTTCATATAACCCTCTATCAACAGGCAATTTAATATAATGTTTTACTGGAGTTGATAATGGATTAAACACATGAACCAAAATATTATTTGCGGAAACACTGGACATTTTTTGAACAACCTCGCAATGTGAGTGATTAAGTAAATGGCAAAAATGAATAGGTTCTGAATGGAGAGGTCCTCTAGGGAAAAGAATGCGATTCATGGAAGCAACAATTGATTCTTCAACCCGTTTTATTCCTTCATGTAATTGTTTAGCATAATCATCAGCAACTCGTTGCTTGCAAGTTCCAGTAATAGCATCATGATGATGAAGAATACCAAGAACTTGTTCCAAAGGTGCATGTAATTTACTCTGTTCCATTCCTAGAAGTGATAAAACGTTGAGTTGTTTAGCAATAGCCAAAAGACTTTCAGAATAACGCATAAATTGTTTCAACGTGGGTCGCGAACTAAAATAGCCAGTCCAATAAGTATTATAAGCATCGGCATACGGGAAAAAATCATCAGCTTTAACAGGCCAAGTAACTTGAGCATCATATAATGATTTAAGATAACAGGAAGGTGTAGAGTAAAACATGTGGATTCCTTCACGAGAACCGATATTGTTAACAGCTTGCATCAACAAGTCAAGATTGGAATACCATTTGTAAGCATCACGATAGTAAAAGTCCATTCCCATGGTTATAATTGTATTGTTGGTTGCATACATTTTAGAGTAGGGACGAATAACTCTATCAATAAATTCACGAGCACGTCTGGGCGCATTGTATTCTGTTACTGGTTCATCATAACAATTATAATCGAAGCAAAAATTTTTGGGTGGCCAATAAACGTTGGGTAAAATGCTTGTGAAAAGATCAGACCGTTTACCAATGGAAGGACTTGATTTCCAGATAAATTCAAGATTACGGTGGTTTGTTCGAACCTCTTTATCTTGGTAGTCAACTCGTCCCAAAAATAAACCATCGTAACCCATTTGAGATAAAATTGACGCGAATTCCCTTGAATGTCCAAATGAATCAATTTGCCAACCAATCCTAGGCACACCACATTCGCCAAAAGTTTCATTCAACCATTTATGACCCAAAGTCATCTGATTTATTATTCCAGAATACAATGGACATGCTTCGTCATTCATGGACCAACCACCACTAATAAATTCCAATTGTCCTGAGAAGAGATAAACAAAAACAGATTAAGTTAATCGCTGTTTAACTAACAAGTAGAAAATTTAAATTGAAAAGATCACGAAAACGGACGATCATTGAAACTACTACAGAAATAATCGAAAGAAGTTTTTCGTTGATTACAATATTTTATGTATAAATCACAGAATTGTTCAATTGTTTCTCTGCTTCAAGGTTGAGTTTCATTGAGATTGTTCGATTTTGAGACTTGAATTTAACCTGAAAATAAAGGATTGAAAATAATCAGTGAAAAAAGTAAATGCATTTACCATCAGCGACAAGCTGCTTGACCTGGGCCTGACTTGGTTCATTGAGTTCATTGTACCAGGTCGAAAAGAATGATGTTTCTACAGCGATAAATTTTCGATCTCGTGCTTTGCGAAGTTCACTCAACACGGAATTATAAATTTCACGAACATCTAGAAATTAAGAAAAAAGAAGATGATAAAGGTTAGTTGGTCAAGGATACATTGATGCATAATTTAAATAAAACGTTAGAGATTTTCAACAGCAACAGCAACTTCTCAACAAGTTTAAATTTGCGTGATGATGATTATGGCAATGACAATGATGATTGTTATTTAATGTTTGCTCTAACAATTAAAGTTTAGTTTTTCGTCTGCTACTTTAGCTAATCAAATTTGTTTTCAAAATGATAATCAAAAAAGCATAACCATATTTAGTAATGCAAACTGTTCGATAGCCAACGGAAATCATACAACAGTGATTCGTCATGAATCAACAGATACATGATAATTTGATTCTCAAGTTTACATTTTACAAAAACTAACAATTTTCACCCTTAATCACAATTGATTAAACGGTCAGAGTCTTGTGGCCTTAAAGACAGAAAGATGTGTGAAGTCAATTCAGCAAAGACTGATTGAGTATTTGCTTACTTTCATCGCTTTTGTTATTTGAATAAGGCTAATCAAATAAAAAGATATTAAGATGAAAGATATATGATTGTAACTCATGAATTCAATTTAAATTGTGCTAGTGATCCACTAAACTAATCCAGTAAATTGTAAGCAAACCTCTTAACTTAAGCCATATTTATTGATAATTTTCCCAAGCTATTCAAATGAATGACTGAAAAACAAAAATATGATTGATGAAGAGTTGATTTGGGAAAACTGTGAATTTTAATCATTGTGATAATCAATAAAATTAAGTGCTAAACTAGGAAGAAGTTTAATTTTCCATCTCGTTATTAGCAATTTTCATTTTTCCTCATATGACTGGATTCTTTAATTATTTGTATTTGATTAGAAGCACATGAGAATTGAATGAAAATGAAAGGTAGGAAACAAATAAACATTGAATTATTCCTTCACTAAACACTTTCTTCCTCATCATTCCAATCCCAACAATTATGTCTATTTGTGGTTAAATGATGATAATTTTTCTTTCACAATTGTATAAACTAGTCTCTTGATTGTTCATCATCTTACATCAGACAAGGCTAACATGATCAAGATAGACCAGGAAGACAAACCTTGATTATAAGTAATCAATGATCATCATCACTGAATTGTTATCATGCTCTTGATTGGAAGAATCAAGGATTCCCGGGATGAGTCTTCTCGCTATCATTACTACAAGAAAATCAAATATGTGTTCAAACAAAATTTAGAACAAGGTTGATGAGGGAAAATACAACTCGAATTACAATCTTAAATGTAATAAGTTTAAATAATAACTGAGAAAATCCATCCATAAGAAGCCTGATTTTAAAAGGTATTTAACCAATTAACTGCAAAACTGATGGTGATTTGGACAAAACAAAAGCTCAAATAATAAGAGTTAAAATAGACTAAATTACAGATTTTGCAGTAAAAGGTTCAATTTGCAATCTTAATTGTATTATTTTATTTTAATACAGTTAGATTAGACTAAATTTACTACAGTTGTCTATCAGAGCACTTATTTATTCAAAGTCAAGGTAGTGAAAGAAGAATCATCAGAAACAAGTCATCACAAGAAGTGAAACCTCTCATATTTATTGCACCTAAATAAAGGCTTAACCAGAGTAGCCTAAAAATATGAAATATTGTAGTAATTGTGAGCTCAATTATAATTATGGTTATCTATTAATTGAAACCATTGTAATGTTAATGGTTAGTTAATGTTCGATTAAAGGGAAATTTATTCTAAATGCATTTCTCCAACTTAATTACATCGTTGGACAATCATATTGAGTTATTGACAGAATAGACTTAGCTGTGTTTGAATTGGGAATTGCAAGATTTCTCATCATTAATCAAATCTTAAAACAATTAACTTACATTTTTGGTAATATTCATCATAAGTGATTACCCATCCTGTGTCCATGTGGCTATGACAAACAATGTGTACATTGATAACCCCATCTTTAATGGGTGGACAAGACTAAAAAATAAAGAACAGCTGATTAATTTCAAATAAGAGGCAGCTCTAGAAATAATTAGAGAAAGCATTGAATGAGTTTTGAGTAATTTGAAAAAAACCTGAATAATTCCAGTTAATTGTGACAGGCAAATTTAACAACAAAGCAATGGTTCATTTTATGCTCGACAATATAAATTGCAAACTAGATTTGAGCTCAAGGGGAATAACTAAAATAGCCGGATAAATCTTTCCCCAATTAAGAGCCATGATACGAAACACTTTTACTTCCTATTAATTGAAAAAGTGAAAGGATAGAGAAAAGTTTCAATTGATTAAACTAACAGACAAAAACCAGAATTACATGGTGTATGTGGTCGTTGACAATACATATTGATAGTTGACTTTTCCACTTGTTTAATTCAATGGTAAAACATAAATGAAATGAACTTGTTTGAATCAATCAAACATTATTGTTGGTTTTAATTGTCATTACTGGCAGAACGCATCAAGTAACTTGTCAAGGCAAAAGATTCAGCACCAAGAAAGAGGTTAAGATACGAAAAAAACGCTTTACAATTGAAAATAGCAAAAGATTTAAAATAATCAGTCGTGAGAAAATTAATATTGGCGCCTAATGGTTTGATATTTTAGCAAAAGATTAGATAAAAATGGCTACTTTGAACTATGATTGGTTAGCTAATTGCAAGTAAAGGAAGGAAAAAGCGGGAAGAAGCAACCATTACACTTTAAAGGAGCAAATGTGTTTAAAGTGGTTAGTCAGAGTTTAGATTTTCAGACTTTTTTTTCTTCTTGTATAAAAACCGTCTGTTGATTAAAATCACTTACCTCATATCCACAGGTTTGAGATTGTTGAATTTGTCCTGAACAACTGGAAGCTAAGTATGTGAAAAAAATAATAACTGATATAACCCTTTGGTGATGCATGGTGAACAATTAGCTTGGAACGAGATGAGGCTTTGAAGCACTTTCAATGTTGGTCTACTTTCACTCTTCTCTATCAACTTGTTATAATGATAATGAGTGTGATTATGGCTTTGATTGTGAATGTTTTTCTTTTGTTGTTTACTTTGACAAGATTTTTTCCCAAAGAAATTCTGGTGATCAAGTTGAATTATTGAAATTCATTTGACAATAGATGATAACGGTTCAATGGTTGTGAGCATATGCACAAATAAAATAATCACTATTTAGATGTATCAACCAAGCGTTTCAACACATTTTTCATCAAAAACAAATTGTCAAAATTATTAGAAGGTAAATATTAAATTGTAATCATGAAAGAAAAAGGAATACAGTTCGTGGAAACATTTAATGACAATGGGTATGATGGTAATGATGTTAGTGATGAGGACGATGTGAAAGAGAAATGGAAAATCATTAAAAATTCTTTGTATTTACTTTCATCTTCTAACTTTCACTTTTCTCTGTTACTCAGGTAATGAGATCCGTCACAGTCCGACGATCCAGGGAAATAATCAGTCCAACTGAATAGAAACAATGGCACAATTGACCAGATTAATTGGTCAGATAGGGTGGTAGTCAACAGGGAACCTTTTTACACAATGATGTTGACGATGTTGGCAGTGTTGATAGTGGTGTTGATTTTTTAACAAGTAACTCAAGATTATAAAGAAAGCATCACAAATAAATTCAGGTAGTGTAAGCTGAGACAAGTGACTATCAAAGTTGATAATCTATCAATGTCAACATGATTAAAAATAGGTAAACAAGATGGTTTTGATTGGGATTACCTTACAAGAAAACAAAAACCGTTACTGGACAAATATTAATAAGCAGCAAAAAAAGGCATGAACAGATCCTTTAGATTTTCTCTCCTTCAAGTTTCTCACTTTATCTCCCTTTCATTTTACCTCCTCCTGGTTTTCAGCTTTTTATTTTCCATTATTTAATCTGACGGAAAGATCCCAGCGCCACTTTTATCATGTAAGAGATTGGAAGAGAGAAAAATAGAAGAAAAAGATGAAAACGAATCAAAAGTAGACCAGAGTTTGGTGCAGTCTGAAATGTACAGAATCTCTTGTTATCCGGTTGCATGTTTAAATCCAATTTCATTGGAATCGTAAAACGAGATTTGCTCATAACGCTGATCTTGCCATTCTTCATCGTTTCCATTATTGGTCAGCTTTTGGATTCTGAAAGAATTAATTGTGGTCAGTAAAACGGTAATAAAATCTATTTTTACCAAGTCAAGTTTAAAAAAAGAAGCTTCGTTTGTAATTTATTCATCATTTTTCTATTGAAATGAAACAAACTGCAACATTTGTCATTGACATTTTGAGCTAATTACTTGGTTAATTACTTTTGGTTAGAGTTCAACTTAATAATGGACAATTGTGTTTTTGTTTCAAATTAAATGATGATTAGGTAAACAGCACAAATTTTCAAGTTAAAAAGTCCTAAAAGTAACCAAGGTCATCTTGTTTTTTCCGCATTCTTCGCTTATTTTTTGATCTTATGGCTGTTGAAAGTTTAAATTGTTTTCAATTACGGCAACAGATTAAAAAAAGGCTCAGAAGAACCGGAAATTTTAACGAATTGGGGCAACATTAAATGATGCCTTGATTTAGTTAATCGCAATATAAGATAGATAATAAAGAGGGAGGTTAAAGAGTTAATAAAAATGTTCTCATTAAACTTGCAAAGATTGAATATGATTTGAGTTGTATTAAAAATGAATGACAACAATGAAATAAAATCATTATCTAATTTTTATTTTTTGCTTTCCATTCAAATTGTGGGTGAAGGAGACTGAACAGCAATATTTAAATATATCTTTGGTAATTTGATGACGTTATTTAACCAAATGATATTTTTTCACAAGTAAGGTCTGCGAGATTCAATAAAACACCGGTAAATGTAGTTTCAAATTTAGGTATACTGATAAAACGAATATGTCTGTTTCCCATTTCTTTGAATGAAGTGGAAAATTCTTTTTGATTGCCAACAAAATAGACATCGGGTAATCTAGTCAATATAAATGGATCTTCAGGATTGTCAGGTTTCACATTTAATCCAGGAAGAGTGTCCGGTACTGTAGGAGCGAGATGAGACCAAATAACAGTTTTCTCCATTATTTCGATGGGATCAGTGAGATTACTGAATCTTCGTATGTCATCTATGTTTTGACCAGAGCTTCCAATGAACAGGCGAGAATCATATGCACCACAATAAGGATTAGAAACGCAATGAATACTATCAAGTGTGCTACTTTTAGGTATTATACATGGACTCATAGGTTGTTGAGGTAATGGTTGACAGGTGGGATCTGTATGGCCTGGCATTATTTCAACACCAATAGTTCGAGCAAACTCGACTAGGAAACTGTCTACTTTCTCCATAATGTCAACGAAAAATGGTTTCGACTGCTTCAACCAAGGTTTTCCATGGGCTTCATCCTTAGCTAATTCTTCTGCACGAACCTTTTCTCCAATCAAATTACCGGCGATGATAACTCGACTAATCTTTTGCGACTTTTCAGCATCTTCTGGTCTTAAAAATCCAGTAATGAAACTCTTTAAAAGATCGGTGGCTTTACACAATTGAGATGAAGGATTTTTACTGAAACCAAGACCAGATAATAGTAAAATGTACTTTGTTTCAATTGGTGGTAGTTTTTCAACATAAGGACTCGGCAGGCTTGGGTAACAAATTTCTTCCACGATAAAATCATTTCCGTCAGGATTGACACAGCCCTTGAGTCCAACAACGATTCCAGTGACATGAGAATGTATAGAAATATTTCCGGATAATCTTACGTTTTCTGTCTCATCTTGTAAAATTAAATAATCTGTATCGTCAATGTAACAATCAGCAGTAGATTGTGGAACTATTTGATTATCCTCCGAACTAATTTCTTTCAGAACCGTTGGTTGATTTTCCATCTTTTTAAACAGAATTCCAATGATAATTACTCTTGGATCATCTTTATCATTCATCTCACTCATTGACGAGAAGCGAACGTTAGTTCCCCATTTTTGTACAGCTAATTTTTGAATGAGCGGTTTGAGTGTTTTTAATCGAGCAACATAAAATGGAAAATATTGTGAAGTAAAATGATTTTCCTCCAAAATAAAGTCATCACACAAGTTTTCATGTCTCACTTTAATCCGAGGATAATTTGAACCATTAAATACCTGACTAGAAGGAGTAACGGTACTTCTCGGGACAACGGCATCGCCAGAATCTACCTCCATAATTCAAGTTAATCCAGTAGGTTGGATAACAAGCAATAATACGATTAAAACACTTATCGATGAGATATTAACTGACTGACTTCAGCAGAAAGGCGCGATATGCAACTTATTTGTGACTCCCTCTGTTATCTACAATCAGTACTGTAAATCACGCAGAAATCTTGATTAATCATTGGATGATGGAACCAATCAAAGAGTATAACTATTGCTCTTATAGACCAATACAAAAATTTAAAGCAATAAGATTTTCGGCTATAAATGTCTCTAACAATAAGATACATGTATAACGCTTTTCAAGCTTTGTATGGCAACCGGTGGCCATTCACCCATCTTGGCTCTGATTCTGATCCTCCAAACACTTGACCTGCAGACCCTTGTAACATGATTATAAATTTAACATAAAAAATTGAATCAATAATATATTTATAAAATTAATTGGATAATCAATACTCAGTATACACAGTTGCAGGCGCTTTACTCTGAAGAAATGACAAAACCACCATAAACTGATAATTTTCGAGGCTTTGTATTGATTTCATTTACTTCATATTTTAGTTTACAATTTTCAGATTCTCAAGCTTTTTCTGTGAATTTTCTGTCTTTTCAGTTTTTCTGAGCAGCAATTAATAGTTTCATATTACAATTACAATTACAACCATGATTCAGTCTGTTGCTAACATTAGGTGGCGATGAAAAATATCTAATAAATTTACATTTGTCTAAATCAAATTGCTGTTTCAGAATTACTGAGCAATAGATTAGTTAATAACATAAATTCATGAATTGTTCAATTTACCTCAATCTATTAACCCGGGTTTATTCATCAATCGTCACTTGGAAACAGTTCCCTTAACGCCAGTAAACAAACAAACAGTTGTCTTTCCTTACTCCAACTTGGTAAATCAGTTGACTGTTGTCTTTTTTAACTAAATTCAATTGCAAATATTACCTTTTTATTATATTGCTTCCAGATGATATAATTAATTAAATTAGTTGTTAAATTAAATTAAATATGTGGTTTATGATTATTTTAAGTTGGCTTGCCATCTTTGTGCAAGTATCTTTTATCATTATGTCCTTAGGTGAGTTGGAAGTTTACACTTGTCATGTCTTTTTTTATTTACCCGGTTTTCACGAACGATATTTACTTTTCTTTCTTTCATAATTTAATCGATTGGTCAATAATTCTATTTTTATTGAATACTTTAGCTGCTGGTCTCTACTATTTAACTGAACTGGTTGAAGAATATACTGTGATAGCTGCAAAAGTGATTCGCTATGTTATATTTGTAAGTATCATCCTAATGTCATTTGTTATTCAAATTGTTCCCAAATTTCTCATCATTTTCCTATTTCTTTTCAGGTTACATTATTTATATATTTGTGCCTTTTGATTTTTGAAAATTTACCCATGAGTCTATTATTGACTGGGATTATCAGCCAACTAGTTCATCTTGTAATACTCAAAAATTTCCCCTTCTTCACCTTTACATCGATACCCTTCATCTCAGGGATAAGTGAGTACTCCTCCTCTAAACACCCAATATACCTGTTCATTAATTTTAAACCATTCTGGTGAATAAACAGATTGATTGAATACAGGTGTAACTAATAAATTTTAATAACAGTTGTATTTTTATAGTAATCTATTGAATTACCCGCTTCTCAGTTTTACCTACCAGACTAACCAACTCATCACTAGATGTCAGACGCAGCATGGTAAAGTAACTCTTTGTTTCAGTAAACATTTTTGTCCAAAGAGTAACAAGAGACTGCACGACAAGGTGAGGGGTGTAAAATGAGATAAGAAAAGGGCAATCTCTCGCTGATAGATGGCGCGAGAAAGACTCTCTTTCTTTTCTCTTTCTTTTACAATTTTTCCCTCTCTTTTTCTCTTTCTTTTCTCTTTCTTTTCATAATTAAAAATTAACTTAAAACAATTAATATTAACATTACAAAAGGCTTTTTTGATTGTTTTTAATGGTTTAAATGTTATTTTAATTGATTTTGATGATTTTTATGCTTGGTTTGTTCATTTAGTAATGAATTGATTAGGATTTAACAGAGAAATGCAATTTTAACAAGGAAAATCTGAACTTATCAAGCAAAAGTCTATCAAAAAGTTTTTTTTATTTATTTCAATCTACATATATTTCATTTTAAACAATTTCTTCATCGGACATTCTGGTTCTGTCTCTTTTCCTGCCAGGTCATTCGCCACTTGAATCTTTTCCTGTGCAAACTCCATCATTTGCTGTGCTTTTCTTTTGAGATCTCTCCCCTCTTGCCTTAGCCCTTCTGCCTCAGCTGGATCATTACCAAGGCTAGAATTAGCCTTTGTGAACTTACCTATGGCTTGATCGTGTACACGACAAGCCCTCTCGACTTTAGCTGCCCTCTTGGCGATCTTTTTGGCGACCATTGGATCAATGTCCCCAGAGGCTTCATACTGAGCTGCCACCTCAGCATCCCTCTCTTTCTTTCTTTCTTTGGTTCTGGATGAGGTTGTAGCCTCATCCATATCAGGGTAGTTCTGAAAAGAACTGTTTTTTATTTCAAAGACGTTTGGTACGAAGCAGATTCGAACGCGCAATCAAAGAGATTGTAAACAAACGCTTTATGGGAACAGCCAATGGGAGACCCGAAAGCATGTGATTCAAAAAATAATATGTTCCTTGACCAATGAAAATTTTTAGTAGTGACATCTATTGTCTTTCTACACTGTTAAATATGAAATTTGGCATCAAATTGATTTCATTCCATTTCACTATCAAAAATATATTGATACAAGTGTATCATGAACAACATGATACTTGCTTGTCATGAACTATGGTTGTATAGTGAATTGTGTTGAACTCTGAGTCATGGTACCTCTATAAAGGGAAAATTCATGTTGATATTGACTTTTTATTAAATTTTTGGTAGGTTGTGATGTGCACAGGAAGAGAATGTGATAAAACAAAAATAAAAAGCATCCATGACTAACCAGGGCACAAGTAAACCGCATTTTGCATTGTTAGTGATAATTCCCATTGCAAACGATCTACATCAAGCATAATGGATTTTAAAATACATGTGATGAGGCAATGAGTCACTGTTAACTGCGAGTGATTGATCAGAAAAATATATTTAGAAATATCAAAGGGTTGACTAATAAAGATAAATTGAAGCTTGTTTAGTTCAGGCAAAGAACAATTGAATTTACACTTTCTATACATTTCTAGCAAGCAAACATAATGCTCGAAACATTAGAAAAAGAATAATAATGAAATATCAAACGCTTGGCTAATAAGGATTGATAGAAACTTGCATTTTACTGTTTTTCTTGAATGAAAGGTATAATTTTCGGGATTCATGCATAATCTTGACTTGCGATACATCAAATGAAAGCTCTTCTATTGCATTACACAGTGTAATATGAAAAAACTTGAAAACTCGTTGCAATGACTAACAGGGATAAACTAATTATAAAATTTAGTGAGATTTCGTCACATCTCGTCAAAGGGACATTTGTGCTGGACTATTTCAAGCTTACATGGTCACAATGGATTGCTCTTGTTTTGATCACGTCATTTAATTTCTGTATTGCCCGAAAAAACGGTAGAATCGACAATTAAAATCGAAATATTCGGTTGTCGGAAGTTGATCTGTAAGTCCATAATGGGATGACTTAGAAAGTTAGTTTTCAATGTAAACATTGACAAAATAATACCGGAACAAGATCTGCGATTCACAATGCAATCGTTTGAAGCAATCCATATGATGAATTGAGGAAGTTGAAGCTCCTCAAGCAATCAAAACGTGGTTTTCAACGTGTTGATTCGTTTCAACGAGCAATTCGCTGCAAAACTTTTTTTCATCTTTCAACCCATCAACTGCTGATTTAGCAGAGTTTTTCTCCACATTTTCAACCGATGACATAGGTGAAGATAATTCAGCATTAGATAATCATCAAATACATCGCTCATCTTCAAATCGTGGATTAATTTCATATATCGCTGGATACCTCATCAATAAACTCACAAAAAATGGCCATGTTTGTGATCAGTGTCTTGATGTTTTAAAATCACCACAAATTTTAGATATTCATACATTCACAGTTTTGAAACAATATACAGCAAATCAACTCATTCTCGCATCAATACCTTTCACCAACTACATCACTGATTGCTGCTCAACTCTACAGGACAATGTTCCATCAAAATTTTCAGAAGAAGCCCTTAAGTGCAAATTAATCATAGACTTAAGAGATATAAATTGTGCTTTCATTCCATCTTGTCATCATGATATCATCAAGAAACAATGTCATCGTCATCTCATCAACATGTTTGTGGGCAAATATGCTAAAGACTGTGTGAGGGAATTCAAGAAAGATCCCAAAATCAATTCATTCGATGATATATCATTATAAAACAGTGAGTATAAGTTCTCATTTGGTTTGAGATGATTACTAGCATTTCAAATCGTTAATCTAATAAATTTTTCTTACACTTATGTAGTTTCATTCATCATATCACAATAAATATGATTATCTAAGGTCCAAGTCCAATACATATCATAATAAAACAGTGAGTATAAGTTCTCATTTGGTTTGAGATAGTTATAAGCATTTTGTATCGTTAATATAATAAATTTTTCTTACGTTTACTTATTAACAGTCACAACACAACATCACAACATTACAACAGGAAATCACAACAGGAAATCACAACAGGAAATCACAACAGGAAATCACAACACGAAATCACAACACATATGGTAATCGAAGTTCCAGGTCCAGTGCAGATTCACTTTCATAAACATTCCACTTTATCAATACATCAATTTGTCAATTTTGTAATATTCCACTTATGTTATCACATCAATTTGTAAATATATTTCATGTAATGTCACTTTTGCTCATAATATCAATTAATAAATAATGTTAATTCAATTTATGCATAAAATTCTCTATTTCTACTCGGTTTAATGATTCCATTTCAGATATTATTTGTTAAAATTGCATTTCTATGTCAAATCATAACAAACACATAATTCAATAAGAAAAATAAGCATCGATATTGTTTAAATAAAGCAAAATAACATTAAATTCCTTTAAAATAAGTCAAAAAAGTCTTTTATATTGTTGATATTAATTGTTTTAATGTAATTTTTCATTTTGAAAAGAAAGAGAAAAGAAAGAGAAAAAGAGAGAGAAAAAATTGAAAAGAAAGTAAAAAGAAAGAGAGTCTTTCTCGCGCCATCTATCAGCGAGAGATTTCCCTTTTCTTATCTCACTTGTAACCCTCTACATCGTCGTGCTATCTCTTGCTCCTCTTTGTTTTTGTCTGAATTCAAAGATTTACCGTAAATTAATTCAAGTGTAATTACTGAATCTACTGTGTTTATTAGTAATTTATGTCTAATGTTATTCTCGGAGTTTAGGGATTTTATCTCAATTTTGATTCTTATGAATATTTGATTATGTTTTTAATTACGTTTAATTAGACATCTTAATTTGTTTTGGTTTCCTTTGCAAGTTTTCCTGATAAACAAGCAAGCTCTAAGTTGAATTTATAAATTGTGATTTTGTGAATAAGATCAAGACAACTACAACATTATAATTGACTGCAGCTCAATTTACATTTTCAGTTTTCCTGACTATCAATCATCAATCCTTCCATAGTATTGCAACTAGTCAACCCAAACCATTGAAAATGAATAAGCTATTTATTATTCAACCTTAATTTAATTGAATCCTTAATTCGTCAACTTGTCTTGATTCGTTTGACTGTCCTGCCTTCACCACCCATTTCAGCCTCTAGTCTCATATGATCTGTTTTTGACGCTCCGTAAGCAACTCGCGAAAAAGGGACCTCAGATGACTCGATAGCTGAATATGATCTAGAAAGGCGTATATCGATATCCGAACTAACTGAGTGTCTTTTTCGTCTCCATCCTCAACTTGAAACTAATCAAATTACCATGATTAAATGTTAATTTATCTCAATTTTCCACTCATACCAACTAAAAAACTTGAACCCAGATTGGAAAGAAAAGATTAATTTGTAATTCTCTTCTCATTATTAATAGACAAACAATTTAATCAATTAAAAAAGGATATGAAATCAATAACAAAAATGTTGAAAAATAATGACTTTTCTTATTTGATTTCATCGTTAAATATCAAATTCTTAGGTGAAATTACCTTTTGAAAAGTCAATTATTATATTGGTTAAAGTATGAAAAACAAAAAGAGCAGCAACAACATCATTTAATGTCAGTAATTGAATATTGTTAATAAATTGTTGCTCGATAAAGTAAACTTTGAGAGAATCATGTTTTTCCATGGTAAAGGATAATGATCAGAATAATGTTTAGAAACATTTTCCTGGTGCAAAGTAATAATTCCCATCTTTACCTTCATTCCCTGAAGCATTCCCATGATAACATTCCCCACCATCAATACTGATATTGAGGTTAATTTAATAATAAACGGAATGAAGTTAAACGATGAAACCAGATAAAAGTAAATGATAAAAACAAAAAGGCTGATGAGTTAAGCTTTTTTCCCATTTCAGTTATATTTTTGTTTACAAATATTAATGAACAAAATTCCCTGAAAAACTAGACAAATTCTGGTTCCTCAGATGTTCATCAGATTAAATTAATTAAACTAATGACTTTACATTATTGAAAAAAGATGCTTTTACATGTTAAAGGTTTCATTTTTTGCCATTTACTCTGACAAATGATTAAAGTTGAATTTTCATGAAATGTATTTTGAACATTCTATCATCATGATGTTATCATTCAGATTATTTATCTTGTACAATTTAACCTTTCCAATGAGGTGTAAAAGGAGTGAAAAATATTTGAAGCATTTCTTTTGTTATATTTTCTTGTCTTTTATTTTTGTGCCTTTTCTTGAAAACTGGTTAAAATTCAATTCTTTTTCACTCAAAACTGAAATTTTGTTTCCATCAGAATCATATCTCACCACGTAACTGATCCATGAGAATCCAAGAATCTGGATTGTTTCAAATTCGCAGTTGAACCATTTTTTGCCAGAATTGATAAAAACATGAAATGATCATTGATAATGTTCAACTTTTTGTTGGAGTAATTTTTGTGTTCCTTTTACTTCATCAATCATGAACTGTTCTGATCTTAGAATGATGTTTGACTTCTGGAAATGATGAACAGGAAGAATGTTCAAAGTCAATAATATCAATAATTTAACAGACGATTTAACAAAATTAATGAGCGAAGTTTATTGATATTTCAAATGAATCTTTTCAAATCTTTTTCATTCAATATGAATTTATATTTTTTTACAAAATTGACTCTATTTGAGTCTAATGGTAAACTATGAAAATGTTGATCTTCATAAGAAAAGGTTTTTGTTTCCGATTTTTGTTGATGTAAACACAAAAAAAAGAGTAACTCATAAATCATTATTGACAATCTTATGATAATTGAGGCAATCAATGAAATACATGATAAGATACATCATCTTGAGTCAAGATGAAAGTACAGACTGAATAAAGTATGTCATTCCTTATTACCATGAGTCTACCTCAATGATTGTTAGCTGATGGAGATGATAATAGTCTTTATGCAGAATCATGTTTTTTCATGAAATGGCGATTGTTCAAAGAGAAGCCTGAAACAATCAGTTGATCACCAAAAGAGAAAGCAATTTATTCAATCAATCCAAATCAATATTACCAGAAGAAGCGAGCAAAACTGGTTGAAAAGCTGACTTAAAATGACCCAAACATTTCTGGTTAAACCAAACACTAATTGTCTTTTCTTTATTACAGTTTTACTTTTTGTCAACCATTATTTAGCATTTACCTTTTTTGCCAACGGACTGTATCCATTAACACAGGTAAATTAACTATTGATTGAAATTAAAAATTGAAAATGAATGGCAAACAAAAAGCTGGTAAAACCATTCAAACCCAAAAGTGAAACAGAGTTAAAAATGGCTAATGTTTGAATTTTATGGTTACAATGATTACAATGGCGATTTAGATCAGTTATAAATATAAATGCTGACCTTGGCCCATCTTGAAATAGTGAAATGACCATGAAAAATGCGACAACAATGAAGACTTTTAGTGTCTCAATTTGGGTTACCTTTCAATCAACTTTGATTATGGTCTATTAATCTAGGCCAATGTTGATGATGTTACTCAGTTTCATGTTATCAGGTTAATAATAAAAGTTCAATGTCAACCCTTGCTTTCTCCTCCTCTTTATCATCCAATATTTTTCATCCTAATCATCATAATAATGATGATGATCATTCAAGGTTGATAAAATGTTGAACAACGATAAATTGTCCACAAAGAGAGAGGTAAAAATTAAGTTATTTTTACCTTTAATGTTACAAAAGGCCTTTACCTTCAAATCTTATTCACTTCATCTTATGAATAATAAATCGTTTTAATTTACCAAATAAAATTGGGTGGTGAACATTATCAACTTGATTGAATTTATTGTTCTAACAGTTGATTTCACTCTTTTTTTCCACCTTGATTATTGTTTCTTTTTTCAGGCAACTATTTTTTACGATATGATAATATCAACTTTCACTCCATAATTCATTCCCTATTCACTCCCAGCTTGCACCCTTTTATAATACACCTACAGATTATTTTTTCCCCTGTAATTTGTGTTCATTTTTCATGGTCACCATCATTATAATCATTGCCATTATCATTGCTTTTAACCATTATATTCAAGTATTAAATCATGGATTCAACTCTTTTTCCAGGACAATATTTAACATTGAAATTTATTCATTTCTTTCTTTCTCTTCCTATTCAAGGTTCTAGGATTTTTCACTTTATGTCTATGGATTGTTCCGTTTTCATTTTTCATTTCACTTTCTGCAAATGATAATGTTTTACCCACTCTGGCTGAAACAAGGCCGCTTGTATCAGGTCAGTGATGAATTGTCTGGGTTTGCTTATTTTGCTGATCAACTAATTTTTGTCAATCAATGTCAACCTTTAATTTGATGTTCATGTTGAAGCTTTGATCAAGCAAAAATCCCTGTCATTTCAATATTCATTAAATTTACATAAAATTTCAAAATAACATTCAATTTTTTATCTAGATAATTGATTTTCTTCTTCTTCCTTTTCTTACAGATGATTCAGATGTTGTCAGCCATTATTTTTCACGTAAAACCAAAAAATATGGACTTTATTCATTTTTAAATTACTGTAAAGAAAATTTACTTGGATCTCGTGTTAAGAAATCATTTTAAATGAAGCAATTAACCATTGGTTGGATGGAAAGAAACGTTAATCAAAAACACAGCTCAATAATGTGAACAATATGAACATTGATAATAAAGAGATGCTTATATTTATACATAAATAATTTATACCAATCGAGATGTTTAAGGAGAAAGATTATTGATTTGTTACTTGAAATCTATTGAGAATGGTGAAGGATCAAAAGGAGGAAAAGGAGAAGATGAAAAGGCTGACGAGATGAAATGCTGAATTCATGTCTTTCACTGATATTCAATCTGAAGGAATCTTTGACATTTCCACAAAACTCGATAGACATGATACTTTCGTTTAATGAAACGTATTTCAACTTGGAGTAGTCTGTTTCAGTTGGATTAATTGATTGTATTTGGAGCAAAATCAGGGAAATATTCATTTTGAAAGAGCCATTATTATCATTGATCAACTGTAAAAAGGTTATCAGATGAAAGACGATTGAAATTTGTTTGTCCGCTGCTGCCAAATGTTTTATTTGTTGTTTGGATCAATGTTGATGAATATGATTAATGATTAGGTTAACCCTTGAAGATGTTCTAGTAACGTGCTCTGGTTCTCGATTCTAATCATGTTACAATTGACTATACTTACCATGTATTGAGGTTCATTTATTGAAGGCTAAATGCCTCTAACTTTTAATGTAATTACCTTTTCTTCTTGTTATTATTGTTGTTACAAGGTAATTTATGGATTGGGTGTTAATGCAGGTAAAAAAAGGTAATATTGTGTCTGATATTGATTAATTTTGAGCTTGTAAACCATCCAAATAATGAGCAATTTTTGTTTCACGGATAAAAAGACAAAAATTAAATTAAATTGACGTCAACAATTTGAATGGCTGTTGGTGATTTGAAGGGTAGAATCTTAATCAAGTTAGATTTGCTATCAACTTGGAAAAGATTGGAATCTTGGAATGTAAAAGTAAAGCTAAATTGGTTAAACAACAATTTAACGTTTTGTGTTTGTGATGCAAAAATAGCAACTAATTATTGATCTGATTAACTCATTGGGTACCTAAATTTTGATATTCAATATCGTTGAATCACATTAGAAGAGAGATTCCAAAGAGAGTCGGATTAAATTACTAGAAAGTTAAAGACTGGTCTTTGCTATTCATCTTATTTGTTAATGTAATTCAGAAATATATTTATCATAAGCAACTTGACCATTTAGTCTTGACCTTCTCAAATTTGACCGTGAATATGTGGAAACCTTTCATTTTTTTTGTTGCTTTTACTAGACTATTGTTGCTGCTATTGCTTTATATTTTGATTATTATGATTACTGTTCAACATTGTTTGCTGTTGTCCTGGATTTACCAAAATTCAATTTTAATTTAAAAGTTGAGCCTTTTCGGTTGTTACTTTTTGCTGTCAAATTGAAAGATTCAATTTAAAGTAGATTTACTTGAAAAGAAGAGTTGAAATATAAAATATTTAAACGGACAAGAAATGATGATGATCATGATGATGATGATTACATAAAGTAATATGAGATAAGAGAGGGAAAAAGAGGGGTAAATGGTTGAACTTGATGTTGAACAAAAAGTAAATCAATTTCATGTTGACCTTTACCTTGCGATTTTGAAGTAAATAAATTTCTTCTATTGACAAGATTGTTAACCATGTTAATATTGTTTGAAATGGGGCTTAAAAAACTAAAAGATGAAGATGAAGGGCTAAATTGTTATTACAATTATTCTGATGAAGATATCTGAGTGACTGTAAAAGAAATGGGAAAAGATGGTAAAATTTTGTAGCAACAAGATTTGAAGACGATGAAGAAATGTTGGGTAAAAATTGGATCGATAAAGTAAGGTGTGTCAAAATTTTACTGTAATCCAATGGAAATGGCATTGAGCGAAGAGAAAGTAAAGAAAGAGAAGATAATGATGACGAGAAAGATGGGGGAAGATGGTCTGTAAAATGTATACTCACTGGTGGAAGGGATTGTCGGATGATATGGAAGATGGAGGAGAGTAATATTGGGGGAAAAATGTATTGTAATAAAGGGAAGAATCAAAAGTTGATGATAGAATGAAGACTTTGAAGATAAAGAGACAGAGAAAGAAAGGAAAATGGTAAATAATGATGACAGCGGGCGAGTAACAGTCGGAGTGTGTTGAGTATTCACTTAGAGCTTCAGAAATTTGGGAAAACGCGAATCCACGAGTCAATATATTTTACATTTGCCAGTTATTTGCTTTTTGATTCAGACTATCATTTGAGCTGAAATTTTGGGTGCGAATCGATCAGTTAGTTGGTGAGGGAAGCGTTTGGAGTGTGGGAAAAGGGACTATTTTTAAGAGATCGAAGCTGCCGTAGAGTGATAAGGCGTGTGTTCAAGTAAGATCCATCAACAGCGCATATGATTTATTTTGAAGCAAAATGTTTGCTGAGTCGAGTCTTTGAGCAACCAGAAAATGCATTATTTTGTCTTTTCCCTCTTTTCCCCTCTCGATCTTCCCTTCTCTTCTCTTTCTCCCTCCGTTTTTCTTGTTACCTTTTTATTATATCATAGATATCAATTCACACTAAACATGTCAAAATGATTTCAATTCTAGTCTACAGATGATTACTGTTACCAATTAATTTGATTTTTGTGTTTATATTCTGAGTTCTTGCTTTATTCTTGTCCATTTTTTCCTTTGTTACCAGTTAAGGACAACATTTGCTGTTTACATTGATCGACCATTAACTGTTATATTTTTACCTTTCTTTCTCTATTTTCATGAGATTTGCTTCTTCGTCTTTTGTTATTGCTTTCCCTCTTGTTTATTTCATTCAAAATTCGTTTTCTTTTTCAAGGTTCATTCATTTAGACCTGGATTAATTTTCACCATGATTACTCAATATGTGCTTACTTTGTTTGTGTGATTCAAGCTCAATTGGATGACAATAATGTACAACAGTTTATCTATTTTATCATTATGTGAAAAAGTGTCTACATTTTTAATTCAGCCATGCTATCTCTTGTAACTCTTATTAATCCTTACTCATTAGTGGTCAAGCCTGTGTTTTCAGGGAAATTGTTATTATCATTGCTATATTTATCGACATTACTCTTATCAGCTTTGAATCTCTCCTCTTGACCAAATCTGTGTTCAAAATTGTAAATCTTCGAGTGATTCTTGAAAAATTGATTGAATTTTCTACTAGTTGAGTAATGCGAAAAATGGCGATCTTTTCAAATGAATTGTTTTGAAAAGAGTTTGAGGTGAAAATTATTTACAGTTTACAAGTTGTTTGTTGGACAAGCAACTGGTAAAGATGCACCTTCACTTTGAAAAAATTGAAAAGCCTCATTCTTATTCTGATTGTAATATTTCGAGTCTCTCATGGATGGGCAAAGTTCCTGATGGACTCTTACAGTCACAAGATGATGATGGTTGGAAGCTCAACAGAACAAACTACTATCAAGATGGTTGGATTGCGCTTGGTAATAGTAGAGGAATCGTTGGTGTTACTTATACAACCTGTCGTTGTAGAAAGGCCCCATCATCTGAATTGCCTCCTCGCACTAATTACAATCTTCGTGGTCATAGATCAGAAGTTACTCTGGTAAAATGGAATGAACCCTATCAGAAATTGGCTTCATGTGATTCATCGGGAATCATATTTGTTTGGATAAAGTACGAAGGAAGATGGTCAGTTGAATTGATTAATGATCGTAATACTCAAGTCATTGATTTTGCTTGGTCCCATGATGGTCGAATGGCTCTTATTTGCTATATCGATGGATTTGTGCTTATCGGTTCTGTTGCTGGCCAACGCTATTGGTCATCAATGTTAAATCTAGAGTCTTGCTCAACAACTTGTGGCATTTGGACTCCTGATGATCAGCAAGTCATCTTTGGTACTTCTAATGGAAGTATACTAGTGATTGACATTAATGGAACAATAATTGCCCAATTATCTATTCGAGAACACCATTCAATAACATCAATGGCTTGGTCAAGTGAAAAATTCAAAATGGAAGATATCGATGAAGGTGAAAACAACGGTAATAATAATGGTAATAATAAAACCAATCATAATAACAATTCCAATTCATCATCATCAAATTCAGCAGCAGCAGCAACCTCTTCGTCGCCATCTCCCTCTTCATCTAATCGAAACTATATTTTATCAATTTGTTTTGATGATGGAGTATTATATTTACTTAAAAATTATGATGACATTTGCCCAATAATTATCCGAACAAATTTAAACACAATCAAAATGGAATGGTCTAACAAAGGTGATACTCTTGCTGTTGGTGGACATACAATTGAAAATACGTATACACCGTATGATGGCTATAATAAAGATAACAATAATAATAACAAAAGCAGTTCCAGTAGTCAAAGAGATTATGGTAATCCAAGTATTGCTGGTTTAATGAATCCTACGAAGTATATTAATACCATTAAACTTTATAGTGAATCAGGAATATTAAAATATCGCGTTAATCTCGAATATACTGGTCACCCAATCAGTTCATTAACGTGGGGCCATAGTGATAAGCGTTTGTTCGTTGGTACAGGGCCAGTTCTAAATATTGCCTGGGTAACCAAGCGAGTTGCTTCTCTTCACCTTCTTTGTCGATTGAGTATCTACAAAAAACTGTCCAATGAATCTGCAGTTGAATCTCTTCCATTGCCTTCAACACTACAAAATCTCGTGTCCAGTCTTTTTGGTCGGACATTACGGTGCTATCTTCCAGATAATCTCAATTTGACTAAATTTACTGTTAATCCTCCTGCTAGTAATACTCGACTTTATTGTACCTTGATTCGTCATGATGAAGATATACTCGGTAGCTCTTCATCTTACGTTTTATACCTGGAATATCTCGGTGGTTTAGTACCTATCCTTAAGGGAAAAAGAACGAGTAAAATAAGACCTGAGTTTGTAATATTTCACCCTCAATCGAAAAAATGTGAGGAAACTTTGTTGAAAATCGAAGCAGGTGGAAACTATAGTGACTCAGGAGGTGGTGGAAGAGGTAGAAATAAATCTGGAATGCAAAATACGCTTTATTGGCATTCATCATCGACTCCTGGAACTTCAGACAGTGAAAGTGAGGAACATGTTACTGTAAGAACAAGAAGAAAGCGTCGTCAGCATCGGAATCGTCGAAATCATGAGGGTGAGGCTGATCTAAATGGACTTGCTCGACCACCAGCAAATCATGTGAAGCCAGAAAGCACCTATACCGATGCAATGCCAGAAGATGAGAAATTAACTTTGATAACATCAAATATTTGGGGAACTAAATTTAAAATACTAGGATTAGTTCCTTGGTTACCTTCGGATCTTGGTTCAGTCGCTTATAGAACAAGTTTACTCCATTTACAACCTCGTCAAATGACTTTGAAAATTAAAGAGCTTGGAGGTCAAAGAGAAGGAGTAACTGGAGGGTTCATTGTTGAGGGTTCAGACAGAGCAGTAACCAGTTCGGAAGATGAAGACGAAGGTTCGGGTGGAGGTGGCAACTATGATGATGGTTACTCTATTCCGATTGCTCCAATGACGCCTAAAAAGACATTTCGTGGCTCATCTCAATCAAATTCAACTCAACAACAGTTCAATATTTCTAACTACAATTATAGATCAGATTCTTTAGATACTGATTATGTTAATCTGATTTCCAATTTATCTGAAGATTTGTTAACCCTTCATGTTAATGGTAGTTCAAATGGTCAACAATTAGTTAGTATGGAAATGATTTCTGCACCTGCAAGTTCAACTTCTATGTTTTACTCATCACCATTTAATAGTCGAGCCTTAATCAAATCAGCCAATTCCAATATCCAGCCAACTCCTACCTCAAACTCGATATCAACACAAACTAGTTTCCAATCATTGAGTGACATTCTCAATCCGCTAGTACAAATGTCAACCGTCCCAATGTCAAGTAGCTCGGAAAATAAACTACAAGACTTGGATCAAAGCCATCTCAATCCAACAGGAAAGTTTTCTTCTGATTGTAACCCTGGCACAAGCGGAGCATTTTCCAACTTTACTTCGAATGATATCATGCAATCACCAGTTGAACACTCAAACACTACAATTAGATCACCCTCAAACACAGGATTCAAAAATTCCTCATCCTTATTATCGCCATCATCAACAGCTGCAGCATTCCCTTTGCCTAGTAACAGTATTGGATTGTCATCGCCAAGAAGCCTTCGTTATAAGTGTATTAATAGCGGTAAATCTTGCCGTGAATCTTCATCTCGTAAAATGTCATCGCGAAATGGTTATGTCGACAATGGTGTAAAAAATCTTCCATCAACCTGTGATACAAATACACCTTCAAATTGTTACAAATTATCTTTAGAAACTGGTAGATATGGTCTTACAAATGCACCTTATTCATCATCACCAACATCATCTTCTCCATCATCTAATTGGTTTTCATCATCTTACTTACTTCAGTATACAAACCTTGCTTCATCTCCAAGCTATCCGGTAGCGGGTACAAATTCTGGTGTTGATAGTTGCCTGATTGAAGGTAGACACATACATTCCTCTAGCACAAATTATGACATGAAATACATTGACGATACTGAAGTTGATAATGGTTTGAATCAAGATTTATCGACTAATTATTGTCCTTCATCTTCTACATCGACATTTGGTCGTTCACCTTCACTTTTCTATCGGAATCGCTCATCAATTGCTCAATCTCAATCAAACTCATCGTCAACATCGACAGCCTCTAATCATGGATTACTCTTACATCAACAACAATCACAAAACAACCAACCAAATGAATATAATTTTACTCAGAGCAACAATAATAATGCCAATAGTAATCATTATAATAGAGAAATTATTGATTTCACAAATATTCGAAGTGATTCAGGGGAACCAATTGCCTCTCAACGACGCTATATTTTATCAACATGCAAAAGGAATAGTCTTGAAGATGAAAGTGATGATGAATTGACAGGAAAGCCTAGTTGCATGTCACTCGACGAAGATTGTGACGGCAAAGGAATAACTCTTTCATCGACATTTTGTAAATGTACTCAAGAAGAAGATTGTAAAGAAAGTAATGCCAACTCAGAAACAAGCCTTGATTATAGACAAGCGATTATCTCATCACCAGTTCATGTGAGAAGAAAAAAAGTGTTTCTCAACTTTGATTCTGAAGAATTGCTCAACAGTCTCAATGATTGTAACACATTACTAACGGAAACTTACTCAAGATTTAATAGAGACGAATCGAGAGGCAATTTGACAGGTAATGGAGGGCCACGAACAGGTCATAGAGGTAGTTTACCTCAGGCTGTTGTATCCAATGAAGATGGAAGATTTTCTAAAAGTTTTCGAAGTGAATTGTTGAACCGAAGCTTGCCAACGTCCCCTATGCTTGGTACAAAGAATCGGCGAAAAGCTCAAGGAAAAAGCATCTTTTATAGTCCAACAATGTTCAGAAAAGTGATGAAACAGAAGTGAGTTATATTTTTATCATAACTGTTAACATTAGTTAAATTATTTCATTTTATTTCTTTCTTAGATTGAACTATCTTGATTGTAGTTCTGAAGATGATGCGAGTTCAGATGACGAGTTTCGAAGTCAGGATTTCCGAAATTTGGGAAATTTCCAAAAGTCGTGTATTAAAAAGAAGATGAAAGTTAAAAAACGAAGCAGCAGGATTCAACCTGACGAACTAAGCAATCAAAGATATACTGGTGGTAGAGAGTTCCTTCTTCATAACAAAGCACCTCTTTGGAATGAAGTAAGCCAAGTTTATCAGCTGGACTTTGGTGGTAGAGTGACCCAAGAGTCGGCAAAAAATTTCCAAATTGAACATCAAGGAAAACAGGTAAGGAAATTTATTCTATCAAATAATCATTCTACTTTTCATCAGCCTAGATTTGTTAGTTTTGCTGAATAACCTATTAAAATAATTCCTGTCTAATATGAAGAATCATCAAGAAAATCCGACTGTTTTCTTTTCATCTTCAAATGAATTGGTTTGTGAATTATTATTGAATTATGCCTTTGCGTGATAGTTCAAAATTGATTGGATTGTTTCCCATTCCCATTAACTATTAGAGAACAAAACTTGGCTAATTGTTGACTTGACAAACAAACTAAAGAGTGGCAAATTGCGTACTCAGTAATATATTGCTTGTTCGTCTTGGCTTAAATGGATATTTATATCACGATAAGTTATAACGAAATCTTCTAATTAATCTTGTATTTTTTTTCGTTTCAGGTGATGCAGTTTGGTCGCATAGATGATAACGCATATACATTGGATTTCCAATATCCGTTCAGCGCATTACAAGCATTGGCAGTTGCATTGGCGAATGTAACTCAGAGATTGAAGTGAATATCGATGTGGACATGGACCGTTGATTTATTGGTTTATTGTGACGCGAAAATTGTGCGAACAATAGAAATAAATTGAAAAAAAAGATTGAAAATTATACTGATTTGAATGAAACAAAATGTAAATAAACTAGCGAAGATAAATAACTTATCCAATGAAGGAAGTTATTATTGTATTTAATGTGGTTTCAATTTTGAAATGTATGAAAAGTGAAAAGAAATCATTTGATAGATTAACTGACGGAAGGAAATGATAAAGAAATTAAATAGTTTTACCGCATAAAGTTCATTAATTTTGACGATCTTCAAAATCTTTACCATGTTCAATTAGATAATTAGCTAAATATCGAGTTGGATCTTCGGGTCGTGTTTTAGCTAATGATGATAAACCCTGCAATAAGATTGGTACAACTGTTTGGTCTAAATATTGACGAGTAGGTAAAGATGCAAAATCAACTTTAGGCTTTTTACTTGATCCATTGACTATTGGAGTTGGAGAAGCAGCTTGAACAACTTTACCAGGAGTCGCTGGACCAGAGTCGGCAGAGACAGGTGCCGGTTGTGAAGTTTCTTTATCAATATCATCGGGTGTGACTCCTTTGTCCTCTATAACTTGACTTTCAGATGTACCATTAGAACCATTTTTTTGAGTTTCTGCTTCATTATTAGGAATTGAAGATACAGATGAAGTTTCATTTTCAGATGCACCAAGAGTAGTAGTAGTTGCTGGGGTAGTAGTGGTATCCATTACTTCACTATTGTCTAATTCTTCTGTTTTAATTTTTGGTATAGTAAATCCAACAGAATCACTGTTGTTTTGAATTTTTTCTGCTCCTCCAGGTGCAGGAATTTCAGTTGATAATGATGATGATGATAATGAACCATCAGATGTATTTTTCTCCTTAGATAATTCAGAATCGGCTGCAACAGCTTCCGGTATCTCCTCAGACAATGCCTCCATTGGTTTTACATCAGCATCTTCACTAACATTAGATTCAACATTTACACTAGCATTAGATTCCATTGATTCCTTATTTTTAGAAATATCAGTTGACTCGGCTTCCATTGGTTGAACTTCAGTTGAAACAGTGGTATTGTCTTGATTTGGAGACGAAGAAGAAGCAGATGGTGCAGCAGTAACACTAGAATCTCCTGCAATTTCTGTTGATTTAACTTGTTCACTTGATTCTTGATCTTTATTTTCAATTGTTTCAGATGACTTGGCAGTTGATTCAGTATCAGAAACCATTTTGATCAAGCAGAATTAGTTGTTTAACTCGGAGAAAATAATAACTGACTGATGTTAACCTGTGATAGGAGATGTCTGATCAATAATATCGATTCTGGTTTGGATCGAAAGGATTGGTACTTCTTCAAATACTTGCTATCGGATCAATTGTGTATTCTTCCGTTTGTAGCTATTTTTCAAAATTACAATCCATGAATATTCAATATTATGCTGAATTACATAAATTGCCTATCGCTTACACCATCGATGAAACGAAGAAAAATATTTGTATTGAAACAAAACTGATTACTCAAAGTCTATACTTTATCGTATCAAGTATCTGCATCTTTATTTTTCAACCTGACATGACTGCAAGCTCCATCTTGTGTTTTACAATTGGGTAAAACTTGTACAATAGTTAAAGCTTTTCTCAACTAATAAATATTGAGTTGGCTTAAATTTTAGCATGATTTATTACTTTATATAGTCATAATCATGGGTTTCTTGATAATTATGAATGTGTCAAGTAGCCCTACTTTAATAATAAAATTGCAAATTGTTTCTAACAGCTTTACATCGATTTCATCTCTTCTAACCTAATGTTATTTCGAAGGCTGACATCCAATTTCATTATTGATAATTCACAATTTTTTTGTACTGTAAACCAAACTTAACCAGAAACTATCAATAAAAGCTACTCATTAATTAACTAAGTTTGTTGACATTATTCCATGAAAATTGATTTTTATCGAGTATTGAGTCGAAGTTACTACTAAAAAGACACTATTAACACATTTATGCACAAATTTATACAAATAGGCAAAAACGGGTATAAATTAATTTTTTCAAATTTAGTCTCTGTTGGCATGTAGGGACATAAGAACTGATTCCCTTCGTGCGATTTAAAAGTTTCTTTGATCAAACGTTTTCTAGAAAATCAAGGTCAAAGTTGAAACTTCGATAACCTTTTGTACGATTATGGAAGCAGATTTTTTGCATGAAACTCGTTTAACGATTTAACTTTTAATAGTCAACCAGAAAAAAACCCTTATTTTGAGAAAAAGAACTTTATTTTTCTGTAAAGCAGATTAGTTCGATTTTTAGTTAAACCGATCTTTTAAGAGTTAGAGAACTGAAACTTATTTGGCGCGTTTGAATATTGTTGTTACACATCATGGATTAACTAATTTTAGCAATTTATCAACAGTTCTCTTGATTTTGGCCATTGGACTTCAAGGCTCAATACATTTACATGTATTTCGAGAATGGCACCACCTCCAATAATCATTCTTTCCCCAATTTAATGCTTTACTAAATTATAATTCAATTCAATTTGATAACTTTCCATTCGTGCATTTGCTTTATGATTTTTTGGTTGTAATTGTAAAAGCAACAACTTGTTGGATAAACTAAACTCATCTCAACCCATATCTTGGTTAATAGAGCAATTTTCTGGTTGAAGTTATAAATGAAATGCAAAAATTACTGCCCAGGCTCGAAAATTTGAGCAAAGAGTTGAGACTTGGTAGCTTTGTAGGAACATAAAAACTGAGTCCAATAGGTCTATTAAATAATGCATCAGATGGACAGTTTTCGAGAAAATCGAGATCAAAGTTGAAACTTCGATTGCGTTTTGTTCAACTATGGAAGCAGATTTTTTCATAAAACTCATTTTAACGATGTAACTTTTAATGAACAACCAGAAAATGCACTTATTTTTAGAGATAACATTTTCTTTTCCCTTTAGAACCCATAAGTTCAATTTTCTATTAAACCGAACACTTTCATTGACCATAAGACTTAGAAAGCTGAAACTTATAAGTGTGTGAATATTGTTTGTACACTTTAATGACCAAACTATGAACTGTTTTCTTAATTTTGAACATTGACTTGGAAACTTTGAACCTCTATGTTTCGTAAACATGATGGTCTACAATAATAATTTTCTGCCAAACTTTGGTTTTACTAGGAGCTATGACATATTTAAATTATTTAAGCTCATACTGAAAAAGTTATAGTATTGTATTACTCATTCACACATTACTCATGTCATTCTCACAATATCGAGTCTTAAAATTGGGTAAAGTTAATACACTTTGCATTTGGTTGTTACTAAACAGACACAAATAACACAATTGATACATTTATGCACAAATTGCAAAACATTGCAAGTGAAATGGTCTAAAACGGGTAACAATTAACTTCATGCAAATTAAGACTCTGTTGATTTGTAGAGACATGAAAACTGAGTTGATTTGTGTGATTTACAGATTTCTCCGATTAACAGATTTCGAGAAAATCGTGTTCGAAGTTGAAACTTGCAAAGCTTTTTGTACAATTATGGAAGCAGATTTCTTCATGAAACTCATTCTCCTTGTATAAATTTTCAGGGCGAACCAGAAAGTGCACTTTATTACATGAAATAAAGTTTTGTGCTTCTGCGAAACAGATAAGTTCGAATTTGGTTTGAAACGACTTTTTTCTGTATCCGTGAACGTTAGCTGCCTGAAACTTATTATTTGTCAATAAAAATTGTTTGTTCACATCTTGGATTAAATACTTTTTTCAATATATCAACAGTTCTCTTTATTTTGGCCATTGGACTTGAAACTTTAAGACTCGATATTTCGAGAATGGAATAACCTAAGATCATCATTGTTTGACTTAACAAAAGGTTTTACTATGGACTATGAAATACTTAAATAGTAAATTAATTAAGATCATACTGAAAAAGTTAAAGCATTGCATGAATCATGTTATCAGGTTTGCGTTTTATTCAGAAAGTTAAATGGTTACTCAATCACAAACCTTAATTGTTGGAAAAATATTAATTTTTAAATATATTTAGTCACATTTTATTATAACACATCATAAAATCTGATGTTAGGTCAAATAATCATGATTTTAGGTTATGCCATTCTCGAAATATCGAGTCTCAAAGTTTTAGGTCCAATGGCCAAAATGAAGAGAACTGCTGATAGTTTGAAGAAATGAAACAATTCATGATGTGTGAAAACAATGTTTATGAGCACATAATAAGTTTCAGTTCCTTAAGTCTTACGGTCACTGAAAGTGGACGGTTTAAATGAAAATCGAACTTATGGCTTTTAAAAGAAAAAGAAAATGTTATTTCTAAAACTAAGTGCATTTTTTGGTTGTTCATTAAAAGATAAATCAGTATAATAAGTTTCGTGAGAAAATCTACTTCCATAGTTGATCAAAAGGCAATCGAAGTTTCATCTTTGATCTCGATTTTCTCGAAAACTGTCCATCTGATGCATTATTTAATAGACCCATTGGACTCAGTTTTTATGTTCCTACAAAGTCACGAGGTCTAAACTCTTTGCTCAAATGTTCGAGCCTTTGGCAGCAATCTTTACATTTCATTCACAGTTTTAACCAGAAAATTGGTTTATTTACCAAGATATGGGTTTTGTTGAGTTTGGGTTATTAAACAAGTTGTTACTTGTGCATTTAAAAGCCAAATATTATGATCCAAACCCGCTAATGAAAATTTATTAAGTTGAATTGAATTGTTAAGCAGTTAAGCACTAAAGCAGTGAAATAATAATCATTGTAACTGGTGCCATTCTCGAAATATCGAGTCTCAAAGTTTTAAATCCAGTGGCCAAAATAAAGAGAACTGCTTATAAATTTAAAAAATTATTTGATCCGCTATGTGAGACAACAATTTTTATGGACAACTTATAAGTTTCAGCTCTCTAACTTTTACGGTCACAGAGAAAGATCGATTTAACCTAAAATCGAACTTATCTGTTTTACAGAAAAAGAGAAGTTTTATTTCTCAAAATAAGACCATTTTCTGGTTGACTACAAAAATTTTCATCGGCAAAATAAGTTTCATAGAAAAATTTGCTTCCGTAATTACACAAAAAGCGATCGAAGTCTTAACTTTGACCTCAATTTTCTCGAAAACTGTTCATCAGAAAAATTTTAAAATTGCACAAATGGAATCAGTTCACATGTCCTTACAAACCAACAGAGACTAAATTTTAAAGAAAGTACTTTATACCCGTTTTTGGCTATTTGTGTCAATTGTGTTTATTTGATTATAACGAGTCAAGATTTGATTTTGATGCTTAAATCTCGTTCATTCAACTACTTGCTTCACAAATCCAATTTTGATTGTAATTTAGACACTTTCTGAACAATTTCTTAAATTCAATCTCTTGTTTCCCTTTGATAAACATTTATATTCGTTATTTGAACTCACCTCATTTTGATGAATCTTCATGATTTTTACCTTCAAAAGTAACCTCTGTTTTTGAATCCATTAAAATTGAAAGGTGAATATATTCTGATTAAACTAATCATGAAAAGTAAAATTAACTCTAATGTAACTTTTTATTCCCGTTGATTGCTTTGATATTGAAAATAATATCATTTTGATAGTCATTATTCAAGTATTAATATGATATTATTAGCTTTAATCACACAATCTATTGATTTTCATTTTAATATTTAAAATTTTGGAGTAAGCTTATTTTTTCTCAACATTTACATGCTTACTTGCAATTCAGAGTCAAATACATACAACATTATTAGGTCAAATGGACATGTTTTTCATTAAAACATAACTAAACTAATTTTACCAGATTTAAGTTGCTCAGGAAATGAATTAGCAGAGGTAATTCAAACAAACGATGAGAATTAGTTAGAGAAGATTTTGAACAAGAAAACAAATCAATCCCAGTTTCCCTCAATACTCCAATAATGTATAAATAAGATTTGAGCAAATGATGTTAATCAATAATGATGATCACAAGCAATGGTAATTAAACTCATCGATAATTATGCTTCACAAACATTAAAATTCAGTTGACTGAAGTGAACCGAGTTGCGACCAACAAGTCTTTGCTATTTAAGTTAATACTCATGAACACGAAGCAAATGAGGAACAAAATTTTATTTAATTATCAAGAAATATACATCAGAATGAACTTTCAAGAGAAGACTCAAAAATGAATATTTTCAGGTGAATATAAAGAATGGGAAAAGTAATTTCCCAGTCAAAAGTGAAAAGGAAAAAGATCAAGAAATTAAAGACTAAAATGGAAAAATCAAGACAATTTAGTAAACTGTCAGCTTATTTTGAAAAACAGTTGTTAATCCATTTCAATTATATTCCAGTTAATCATTCCAAACGCCGTCAACTGGTTTCTTATATTGCTTTAATCATATTCATTAGTGTAACAATCAAGACTATTGTGTTTACCCTTTT